ATCCTCTTCATCCTCTTCATCCTCTTCATCCTCTTCATCCTCTTCATCCTCTTCATCCTCTTCATCCTCTTCATCCTCTTCATCCTCTTCATCCTTCTATTCACCCTCTCCTAGAGCCCTCTGACAGTGCCGAACTATGGCGATACTAGCCGATGAACGCATCGAGACATCCCCCGTCACTGATCATGACAATGATCATCCCAAAGACTCCAATCTTGCCGACCATGGTCACGACCACGACCCTTCTCTCCCTGACACCAATACCCAGCAGTCCGGGGTGCGGGACATGGAGGCCGTGACGGTGGCATGGACCACGGGCGCGCTGGTGTTCGCCTACGTGATGATCTGGCTCACCTACTTCGTCGAGGGCATGCTGGCGGGCACGGCGGGGGCCCTGACTCCCTATGTCACCTCGGCCTTCGCCCTCCACTCACTCACGCCGACCGTGGGCATCTTGAGCAGCGTCATCGGCGGCGTGACCAACCTCACGCTGGCCAAGATCCTCGACGTCTATGGCCGGCCCCAGGGATACCTCTTCTGCGTCCTCGTCGCCACGGTCGGGCTCGTCATGATGGCGGCCTGCAACAACGTCGAGGCCTACGCGGCCGCCCAGGTGTTCTACACGGTCGGGAACAATGGCATCCAGTACAGTTTGAGTGTCTTTGTGGCCGACACGTCGACGCTGCGCACCCGGGGGCTGATGCAGGCGATTGTCAGTTCGCCCAATCTGATCACCTGCTGGTTGGCCGGCCCCATCTCCTCGGGCTTCCTGGACGGACCGGGTTGGCGCTGGGCCTTTGGCACGTTCACAATCCTCGTCCCGGCCATCACCCTCCCGCTGTACGGCCTGTTGCTAAAAAATTACTGCAAGGCCCAGAAGCTGGGTCTTGTGCCCAAGACCGACAGCCATCGCACGGGCCTGCAGTCATTCTTCTACTATGCTCGCCAGTTCGACGCGATTGGTCTCATCCTGCTCTCGGCCGGCGTCGCGCTGTTTCTCCTGCCGTTCAATCTCTACACCATGCAGGTCAGAGGCTGGGGCTCACCCTTGGTCATCAGCATGCTGGCGGTTGGCATTGTTCTGATCATCGCCTTTGGGGCGTGGGAGAAATTCTTCGCCCCGATCACCTTCATCCCCTACTCTGGCCTCCTGGATCGGACCGTCTTGGGCGCCTGCATCCTGTCCGCCACTCTGTTTGTCAGTTACTCATGCTGGAGCAGCTACTTCAGTTCCTTCCTGCAGGTGGTGAATGACCTGAGCGTCCAAGACGCCAGCTATGTCGTCCAGACGTATACAGTCTGCTGCGTCGTCTGCGGCATCGCCGTGGGAGCGCTGATCCACTACACCGGACACTTCAAGCCCGTCTGCATGTATGTCGGTATCCCGTTGAGTATCCTCGGGCTGGGTCTGATGATCTACTTCCGCCAGCCCGACGGCCACATAGGATACATAGTCATGTGCCAGATCTTCGTTTCCATCGCCGCCGGCACCGTCATCATCTGCGACGAGATTGCCATTCTGGCCGCGGCTTCGCACCAACACACCGCCGTCTGCCTGGCCATATTGGGCATGTTTGGAAATGTCGGTGGCGCCATCGGCCTGACGGTCGCCTCGGCCATCTGGCAAGGCGTCTTCCCCAAGAAGCTCGGCGATTACCTTCCTGTCCACGAGCTCCCCAATCTGCCGCTGATCTACGCCGATCTCACCACTCAGCTGTCGTACCCGGTTGGCTCCGAGACGCGTCGGGCCATCCAGCATGCCTACGGGGACGCTCAGATGATGATGTTGGCCGCCGGCACCGCTGTATGGGTAGTCGGAGCCGCCGGGGTCATCATGTGGCGAAATATCAACGTCATTGGTATCAAGCAGACCAAGGGTCATGTTTGGTAGTACATAGTACTACTGCAGGAGCGGCAGTAGTAAAAGTAGATCTGGGTATTTGACAGAAAAAAGCTGGGCAGGTTGGGTCGAGCTTTAGGCGACGATCAGAGGGAGGCATGTTTTCAAAGCGGGGGGAAAAAAAAGTCGACCAGATTGAGCTACATAGTATACTAGATATGTAGGTTAAAGATCGGCGAGCGAAATTAGGGATAGAGGGAAGCCTCAAGACGAATACTAGTAAGAAAAAACAGGTTATTAATATCCGATATACGGGAGTATGATACATGATACAGGTATCTACTACTTTAATCTCGACGATAACGGACGACGTAGACCATCGGGACAAAGAAAAGAGACTGCGTAATTGGGGCTTAGTATGTATCCAGAGATCAGCTCTATCGCTGACTCTATTCCACATCGAAACGGATCTGGCAAATCACTGGGATGACGAGGGACTGGCAAAGGGCCAAGGATGGAATGCGGCATCAGAGGTGACGGGTACTATGTAGTAGATGAGAACATGACAGCCTGTAGGGAAGACGAGTGTGATGGTACCGGTACGAGGATAAAATCATGCCAGCCTTCGTTCTCTAACGGAGCAAGAATGTCGGGTACAGTATGAGATCTGTCAAGCTTCGATCGTCCCAAGCGAGAAATTCCCCATCATAGTCGTGTGTGGTAGAGGTCGGTCGAGGCTCGTGGGTGTGATGTGGTAGGCACCTAGGTGGTAGGCAGCCTTGTGGAGGAGTGGAGCGCAGATCGTTGCATACTGTATCCGTAAACGGCACTCCATCTCCGGAGATGATGGCCGCACAGTACGTACGAGTATACTGTCCTAGTAACTAACTAGCCTTCGATTCCTAGCCTCGCTTGGGTTCTACACATAAGAATGATCTTCCAATTGCATTTCGGGATGCTGCCTTCGCGGCGAATTCTCTGACTGGAAAGCTCGTGTCGAAGCCGTGACCTGGCATCGGATTCGAGTTCGTGCTTCCGCTGAGCCCGGCTGCCAGCTGTGGAATTCGGAGGGATCAGGAACGAGGCTCTGGGTTCCACCTACCCGGTCAAACCTTCGATCCTAGCTCTGCAGACCCCATATCAAGGTACACTACATACCAAACCTTCAGCATTGCTTCAATGGAGCACTCTTTTGTCTGGAGCACCGCTCAAGCAGACTGATTTATGGGCGTGCGCTCGAGTTCGTCGTCGTCGCCCCGCCCTAACAGAAAAACACTGCAGCTTCAATATATATCTATTGGCACACGTATTTTGATCACGAACCTTCAACACAGCCTTGGGTGGAAAGTTAACACGCTGTGAGAGGTATGAGCAAGATCTAATCACTCCGTACACTGTTGGTACGAACTGGGTGCCCTTAAGACAATCCGTTGTCGTCGCATGAAACTGCGAGTTGACTACTCTACTAGGCAGGTCTAACTCCTTTATACGGTTAGCGGCGCCAAGAGACAGACTTTATATTCAGCTGGCCTCAGGCTGGCATGTACCCGTACTCCGTACGAGTACTCCGTACTCTGTACGTATATCTCAGCTTCGATATCTCCCGGCTCCAAATTGCTGGTCCTGGTACTATGTACCGTGGTACGTCACTGGCGCCTTGTAATGTCTTGGCTGACGACGAATTCGTGAGTCCTCAGCCTTCAAGTTTCTGACGCGCGGCTTTGAAGACGTCATCTAGGTGGGTCTTAGACAACATATATGTACCATGTGCGTACATACTGTATACATATCAGGTACGTTACATATAATGGCCATTGTATTAGTATAGCCCATATCTTGTGTCGAATTTTTCTAGGTCTTGCAATAAGCCACAGCACAGCGCACAGCAACAAGGAAGCAAAAACACAACCAATCCGAGTCCGACCAGAAAAGACAAAGAAAAGAAAAGTCTCGCTACCATGGAATCTGATCGTGGTCTCTTCTCGCATCACGACAAACCACCGAAAAAGAAGGAGTCTTTACTCGAGAAAATTGAGCACAAGGTCGAACAAAAGCTCGGTGGCGGCAATCAACACCACCAACAGCAGGGCTATCAGCAACAGGGCTACGGCCAGCACGACTATCAACAACAAGGCTACGGCCAGCACGACTATAATCAACAACAGGGCCATGGCGGTCCGCCTCAAGGCCAGTATGGCGGCGGAGGCCCCTATGACCACCAGCAAGGCTACGGAGGCCAAGGACCAGGCCACCATCATCAGCAGGCCGGCTTTGAAGGCGGTCGAGGCGGTGGTTATGGAGGTGGAGGCCCTGGTCGGGGAGGCTTTGAGGGTGGCCAAGGCGGTCCTGGTGGTTATGGAGGTGGTGGCGGGTATGGCGGTCCAGGCGAATTTGGAGGTGGCGGGTATGGCGGCAGACACGAGCAAGGCCATGGTTACGAGGGTCCAGGAGGTCGCGGCGGTGGTTTCGGAGGCGGCGATTTCGGCGGCCGGGGAGGGGGGTTTGAGGGCGGACGAGGCGGCGGACATCACGGTGGAGGACCTGGTGGTGGTGGTCGCGGAGGGGGCGGCTGGTGACAACTTCAAGTTACCTGAAGGTCTTCACACTTGAAGCTTTTAATAAAAAACTAGTACATACTACATATGTAGTGCTAGTACTATTGAAGTACTAATACTATTAATAAGGTCCCTTCACAACTATAACACCTACTCCTACCAGATAGATAGTACGGCGCTAAGAAAGGCTTAGAGCATGATACATAGTAACAAGACTGTAGTGCCGTACTAGTAATCCCCACCTCTAGTACTTACATGCCCACCCTCAGCCTACTATAGTTTAAATCAGTATTAACACTACCGGTACAGTATCTATATATATTAAAGCGGCTTCGAGTATCTAGAGAGTAACTAGAGAGTATCTATATAGTAGCTTTAACTAGCTTTAGCTTCAACTATATACTATATAGCTTTAGCTTGAACGAGCTTTAGCTTGAACGAGCTTTAGCTTGAACGAGCTTTAACTAACTCTACTAAAATTAAAGTTTCTTTTCAAGTTTTAAGATTTCGAATAAGCTCGAAAGTACTCCAATTTACGCTATAGTCACGCTAGCTATATAATAATTAAATTTTAAGTATAAATTTTAAAATTATACTATAAAGAAGTACTATAATATAGTAGGTATATAATAGTAGTACTAATATTTATTTATTTATTTAGTCTCGTTTAACGTCCTTCGGGTCACATTTAAGGTCCCACATAGACGCCAGCTTCCACTGGAAATCCCTTACGATTCCTCCTCTTCCTGATTAACTAGGACCCTAGCCAACCAGCTTCTATAGACTCAGTCTATCAAAGTTGACCATCTTCACCACTATCGCCAGCTGCCTGGGTTCAGATGGCTTCAGCTGGCCACGACTAGACACCTCCTAGCCCTCTCACCCTCTCCCTCAACCACGAAGTCTCTCCTCATTGTCGCTTTCGGGTTCAGGCTCCGCTGGCTCCTGCCAATTCTCCTCGATGTTACAGAGATCGTACTGCCTGAGCAGTCCGGTTCTCTGTACCATCCTGGTTGCCGCCCGACAACCTCTTTCTGTACTCAAGAGCGTTTTGAGGGAAGGGCGGATGCCTTCCTTTAAACCGCTTTCGAGGCATTCTTCCCTCAACTCTACCCAGGTCGGGCAGTGTAGGAGCACGTGTTGAACGGTCTCTAGCTTTTTGCCGGTGCAGGCTAAGCACCACGGCGTTTTGATGTCGGGGACCTTCCTGTTGAAGAGGAAAGCCCTGAAGCCCACCTTGCCGGTCCTTAGTTGAATTGCGAGCGAGGACTGGTGTCTCTTGAGTGACCTATGGATCTTTTTCACTTTGGGGTCAAGGTATGGCTGGATAATCCTGCTGTGTGCCCCCTTTTTGCTTCGCTTCCACCTCTCCTGCCACCTTCGACGGCAGTCGGTTTGGATTGCTGTATAGTAGTACTAATACCTAGTATACTTTTCTAACTTAAAATTTTTTAATAATTTCTACTATTACTATGTAATAGTAGATCTCGAAGCCGTCTTATTGCCGTATTTATACCGTATTAACTCTCGAGAATTCTTACTAGTTTAGGATAGTGTCAGAGAAGCGTCGAAGAAGTGTTAGAGAAGCTTTAGAGAGGTGTCAGAGAAGCGTTAAAGAACTTGCTTTAGAGAGGCGTTAAACTCGAGTTAGAGAAGCTTCAGAGAGGCGCCAGACTCGAGTTAGAGAAGTATTAAATTAGATTTTAACTATACCTATGCTATTGCCAGTACTAAGGTTATTACTAGTACTGTACTTAGGTATATAGTACCTAGTATCTAGCTAAAATCCTAACTACTATACCTAAATTAGAATTACTAGTATAGTTAGTGTTAAATCTGGATCAAACCCGGATCGAAACCGGATCGAAACTTGGAACCGGATTAAAACTAGATTAATTTTAGACTTAGCTAGATTATAATAATAGTACTTAGATATAGTATCCTTCTCTAAGCGATTAATCGAGGTTTAATCTATACTAGGTATTAAAGATAATTATAGGATTATTACTATAGGATTACTAGTATATAGAGATCACTATAGATATATAGTAGTATTAAGGATTATATCTAGATCAAGGATTATACCTACTAGTTTTCTATTATATTACTACATACTTAAAGTTTTTTTATATTTTTGGTAAAATAAGTCTATATTAATAAGGAAAACAGGAACCTAGATCCTTGAGACGTTTCTTTCCTACACCGGAATAGGTTCCGGGCGAAGTTATGGGTGAGTACTAGGTGTATACCATGTAGTATGTATGGCACATACCAGTAATTGTCGATCATTTGATATAGTAGTGCATCACGGAGGTTCTCATAGTATTCAGAATGCACACAACGTACACATACTATGTATGTACATAGTATTGAGTGACAACCCCATGAAACTCTTATCCTGGAGATAAGAGTAGTGAACGTCTGACACAGCAAAGAGGACCAGCTCTGAACGGGGTCGATAGCACCGCAGCGTCGCGGGATCTGGTCGTTTGTTGTCGTTCCTCGAATTGGCACGCATTGTATTTTTATCAGGCCGCCGTTTCGTTGGCAGACCATTCAGGGTCTGAAGCCGCCGTCGAGGGTGGCTCGACAGTGACAGTGATAGTCCTCGTGAGAGCGAGGCTCTGATCGGGTGCCTCGTCCGGAGGCGACGGGGGAGATATGGGAGCCACCTCCGATAGCGACACCAGGTCTGTGGCGGGTTTGTCTTCGCTCCTCCTCCTTGAAGCGATATTCGCGCATACTGGACCGCGTCGACGAGGTCTCCGGGCGGCTGCTGCTGAGCTCACTGCTACTAGGATTTAGAAAAATTGTCGACGACTGGCGACTCTTCCATCCGCTTCTTTTCGAACCCACCACACACGACACGTTGTGGAGCCTGCGCTTTGTGGGGAAGGAGCGGGGGGGATCGATCGGCCGCAGGCATTCAGTCCTGTGCAATAAAGGTGTCGGCCACAATCAGATCAGACCAGCGAAGTCCACAGGCTGTTTGTAGGAGATTGTAAGGTCGTAGAGGGATGGATGTTAGATGTCAGATGTCTGTTTCGAGCAAAAGCAAGAGACAAGAGGTTTCGCCAGCTCGGTTGTGAGAAACAGGAAACACGGTCCCAACTTGAACAGGACAAGTGGCTGTCAACTTAAGTCATTGACGCTCAACTCCCACAGTGTCTCAATCTCGGTGAGATCGTAAGGTTATCAGGATTCGAGATCAGGTGGAGCTCACCAAACGTTATACTACCCAGTAGTACCCTCATGATACGAGGAGTCGTGCATTGTGTGTATTGTGCTGAGAAAGGAAGACAGTGCAAGAACGCCAAAATACGGAGTACACCTGGACAGTGCCAAGGCTCCACAACGTCGTACAGTGTACGGAGTAACCCTAACCCTAACTCTAATACGGTGATCTACTAGTACTGCTCCCAGACCCTACCATCTACTTGACTCCCGACGAACTCGCCCATCTCTCTTCTCCTTCTCTAAAGCCATTCTTCCGCGATTCGGAAACGCGTCGATCGCTGCGTCAGTCTCTTTGGTATGTTCGTGTGCCCGGCACCTAGGTACTACGAGTAGCTCCTATGAGACGGACACAATTTTCAAAAAGACTTAGTCGTAGTGCACACACCTCTGCATACCCCGATCAGTTCGCCAACCTTTGTAAAGGAAGAGCCGGCACAATGGAAACCCCGCCAGGCCGGCAAACGAGCTAGTGCCACCCTTCTGGTCTGCTCGAGTCACCGATAGGACATCACCTGTACTAGTAATTGGGTATCCCGATAGCACATCACCTGCATAACCCTTCCTTCCACACCTTGACTCCTCATGATGGGGAAACAGCGGACGATTCGAACCTTTACTACTAGTATCGTCTAGCACGGATAGTAGGTACCGGTCGGCGATCGATTCGCCGGCCGTGGTACTATAATATAGTAATATACAGATTAACCTTTAAGTTCGGATAACGATCACCGTACTGGTCGTCTCCTGCGTAAAAGACTACTATGTATATTAATTGCGATTATGGTGGGACATACGGCGGACCATCATCAGGGGTGCGGGGGACGAAATCGCACCGTTTACGGTGGCCCGAGGCTATTCGTACGATGATGCGGAATATCTATCCATCCACGAAATCGTAAAACATATATAGCTTACCAGGTATATATACATAGTAGTAGCTTGTTTCCTACGGGTCCTATTTAGTACCTGTACTATAAAGCCACGTTCGCAATTTTATCCACAAACTTTCCACGGTCATGCGTGCACTTCGATATCACGGAAACAAGGATGTCAGACTTGATGATGTTCCCGAACCCGAATGCAAGCCCGGCTGGATCAAGTTGAAGAACGGATTTACTGGGATCTGTGGGACTGGTCAGTCGGTACCTTCGACTTGTCTACTGTACGGAGTACATGTCTACTGTATTAGTAGTACATGGCGCTCATTCACTTCATGCGCCGCGCCTCCTTGGACCACGGGCAGCTGCTGACAATGGTTCCTCACATATGATCAGATCTCCATGAATATGCCACCGGACCGTCATGGGTACCTACCACCCCGCACAGCCTGACGGGAGCGACATTGCCATGCACGTTGGGCCACGAATTCTCCGGCACGATCGTGGAAGTTGGAGAGGGGGTTTCGGGGTTCCGAGTGGGCCAAAAAGCCACGATTGAACCCTGCATTGCCGATGCCACCTGTGCAGAGTGCAAGGAGGGCTTCCCCGCCATGTGCGGCAACCTCGGTGTCGTGGGCTTCAGCGGCTGGGACGGCGGTGGCGGGATGGCTGAATATATCTGTCTGCCGCCCAAGAATGTCCATGTGGTTCCCGACAGTATGTCCCTCGAGGTGGCCGCTCTGACGGAGCCGCTGACCGTTCCGTGGCGGGCCATCAAAGCCTCGGGCTTCAAGGCGGGCCAAAGTGTGCTGGTTATTGGAGCAGGTAAAGAAAGACTTTTTCCTTTTCCAAAGCCTGGCCTTGTAAGCTTCAGGTTGTCTGCAGCCCCAGCCCTGTACTGTCTCGACATTGTGATGACATAACAGTGGACTAGACTGACTTCATGTTCAACTTTTTGATTTGACCTGACCTGGTGCTCAATACATATAGGTCCTATCGGCCTGATGACCATCCTCTGCCTTCAGGCGTTCGGGGCAACCAACATCCTCGTGTCGGATCCGTCAGAGGGACGGTTAGAACTGGCACGAAAGTTGGGGGCTCACCATGTTTTCGACCCGAGAAAGGACGACGTGGAGCGCGGCTGTAAAGACCTGTGCGACGGAAGAGGTCCGCACGTGGTGTTCGAATGTGCCGGCGTCCAGAATTCATTGAATACCGCCATTGCTGCGGTGCGGAAGGGGGGCACCATCCTGGGTTTGGCATTGTGGGAGACCAAAGCCGTCTTCGATCCCAACCACATAGTCTTGAGACAAATCAAGTACATGGGTATCCTTCCTTACGTTCCGGGTGACTTCCAGGAAGTCATCCGCGCCATTGCAGAAGGCCGGATTCGCCAACCTGAAAGACTCATCTCCGCCAAAATCCCGGTGGAGGATGTGGTGTCGAAAGGGTTTGAGGCTCTGCTCCACAACAAGAGCGATACTATCAAGGTTCTGGTGCAACCTGTTACTAGCGGATAGAGGGTCTCGCTGCGAGGAGGGAAAGGGAAACCTCGTGAAGGAGAAGACCACGGACCACGCTGGATCCTGATCAGACATATGCAGACGGTAGCATTGTGGATTTGTCTTGTTCAGGGAAGAAGTGTCAGGGTCATTTGTGGACCGGAGGGAGAACAAGAATAGGACTGCTGCTACCGTACTAGTATCGGAAGAGGAATCGATAGACATCATAGGGCAATACCCATAACTTATCGACAACAATCTGATTGCTTTCTGCCGCCGACGAGGGTTTCATAAGCTTCCTCCTTAAGCGCTTTCATGTTGATATACTGTCCATTCCAGCATCTCTCAACAATGGTTCTGCAGAAAAGGCCCTCTGATGGAGGTAAATCTTGTAGATTCGGCCACTGCATATCATGTTCCTTATCGAAGAAGTAATACTTATGTACGTGCCAAACAGCGATGGAATAGATGACCCAGCCGAGATGGAGTATCTCAATTGTCGTGGTTAGATCATTGTCGCAAATCGTGTCCATGTCTGTCGACAGGGGTAACAATGAGGACTGGCCAAAATCGGTCAGTTTCAGTTGTCCATCGGCGACCAAGAAGTTTCGCAGGGCAATTTCGTCCACCAGAACCCCCTGGGAATGAACGTAAGATAATGTGTCAATGACAGACAGAATCCATTCGATCTTGAGGGATTCCTGTGGTTCAGGTTGAGCTTGGATATAATCCTCCAGGTTGCCTTGTTTAGCGAAGGCCAACTCGATCCCATAGTTGGACGTCCCCAGGCAGGAGATAATCCCATCATGGTGACCGAGTCGCTGGTAGATCTGTATTTCGTTTTCAAGTGTTCGCCGATTGATCTCATTGATATATTCCATGTCGTCAGGCTGTTCCGACATAGGGATCTAGCGAGTATATTTTTGCAACCTTAACCACCCGTTCCGCATCAAGCTGGAGAATGTAGCCTGTCATTCCGTTGCCGGTCATGGGTAGGCCTGCATAGGGGTTGGAACTGTAGACCGAGTGCGGCCATGGGTTTGACTTTGACGCTGCCGTAGTGGTAGCCATTCGGGAGGGAGCTATGCAACAAGTGGAGAGGAATGGAGGCGAAGGTGCAGTATCAGTGTTAACCAATTGGTCCTTGTTGATGGATCCTCATCGCGAACATGAGGCTCGGAGTAGACAGGCACGGGCACGGGCCCTTGGTAATGGCAAGGACGGTGGACAATATCAACCAAGATTGAAGGTCATACGGTCGGCAGAACTAAATGTGTTGCGAAGGAGTACTGTTCGAGAAGAGATTGCAGAGAGGGTGCAAAGGTCGTGAGATGTGAGGATGTGAGGATGTGAAGATGTGATGGGATGGGATGCGATGAATGTGTTCAATCACGTGTGTACAGTAGACTTGGTAAGTACAGATACATGTATTACCTTGAAAGAGCAATGAATAATAGTATTTCATTTCATTTCATTTCCCTTTCCCTTTCAATTTCCATTCCCCCTCCAGGGCTCAGGTTGTTGGTGTTATAGAATCACGGAACCTGGTTCCTACCACTACCATCCCTAGTTCTTCTTGCTCATCGCCTTCACCCACGGTGCGCTGTCCTGCACGAGATTGATTAGCTTTTGCCTTTGCACATTCCCATTCCCATTTCGGTACAAAAGAGAAGGCTGGTTCGGGTCTATTCGGTTGAGAGGGCCCCTTGGTTGAATTCACACGCTTCCATTCCCCTCCCCTAGGACACACACGGTACACGGTAGACATGGTAGAGACGATGGGTTTGGACTTACCCCCCAGACGCGATAGAGCGAACACAAAGGATTCGTCGATGTGTCTGTACCCGTATCCGAGTCGCTGGCAAAAGTGATGCCGGCGACAAACTCGGCCTCGACGATCTCGCCGTTCTTGAACCACGACTTGAGTCGGCCCAAGACCAGAATCTCACTGTAGTCTGCCTTGGCCGTGTAGACCTGGAGCGGCTCGTGTCGACGATGTTTCTGTGCGATCCACGCCTTGGGACGACTGGCTGCGATGGCTGTAACCGGGTTGTCACGGTAGAGAGTTAGTCTGGCTGTCTGTTTGGTCTTCCATGCCACTTGACCGCACTTCTTCCACTTAACTTGCACTTGTATTTTTCCTCGAGGGGTACGGATAGGACAGGGGTACCCAAACGTAGAAGAAGCCGGAAACCAAATTGTACTCAAACAAAGTAAACCAAACAAACCAAACTCAACAAACGTACCTTCTCGTCCGACCAAAAGACCAGCCGCGCCATGCATCGTAGCGTCGGGTGTGAAGAGCTGGGCAAATCTCTCGCCGGCGTCTGCGTCTTGATTGTCGGCAAGGTGGTAGAAGTCATCAAGCCATTTCTGGACGGCGGCCGGAGCCTCTATGTCGGGCCAGGTAGTGTGGAATGGTTCGGCGGAAGCCATTGTCACTTAGGCCGGGGTAGAGTAGTATCGACAATGAGTGAGAGGAGTACTGATTTACAATAAAATGTGTCTGGACTGAGCAGCGACGAAGGGTGAGTAGGTAGTAGAGCAGGGTCAGAAAGGTAAGTAAATAGTAGAGTAGGGTTAGAAGGGTAGGTAGTAGAGTATAGTGGAAGGGTAAGTAAGTAGAGGAGGGTTAGAAGGGTAAGTAGTAGAGCAGGACTGGATAAGATCAGACGAGTCGAGTCGATATGAGACAAGAAGACCAGTTCAACTGGAGATTCAAGACCAAGTACCAACCGGTCTTGTATGGCATCATAGTATTAATATATACCTAATATAATGTAGGGTACAGTGTACACTAAGTCCCACAGTTTTCGGGTAAAGTCAGGTCCTAATCCCATGAGTCTGACTCGGGCCGTGAAATCCCGCCCACCTCCCGGCCGGCCAGCCAGCCAACCAGCCAGTCAGCGCAAGGTCAGCCCTGGCTGGCATGGTTGGATGGGTCAGACACGCCGGCTCCTGACACGACAGAATAAGCATGAAGAAGAGCAGTAGTAGGAACAGGAACGGGAGTATAAGTAGGAGCAGGAGTAGGAGCAGGAATAGGAGCAGGAGTAGAAGTGGGAGGAGTACGAACAGGAACAGGAACAGAAACAGGAATAAGAATAAGAATAAGAATAAGAATAAGAATAGGAATAGGAGCCCTGTCTACTTGTTGTGTCATCACTGACCACCGCTTACAGTCTACACGCAGACAGTAGTTTAAGCGATAGATTCGAATTGCCCTCGAGAGGTCCTGCAATCTTCCCTGGATCTCAACCATTGACTATCTTACTGATCTTGGTCTCGATCACTGGTCCTTTTCCATCTTGAACGATGAACCGGCTGGTGCCGACGAACCTGGCTGACTCGAGACTTTTCAGATGGGCGGCGCCAGTCTATTGGTTCCGTTTCAAGTGTCAGTGTCAAAGCCAGTGTCGGTAATGGTAAGGAGTCTTATGTGGATGGTGGACGACCAAGTCTTGGTAGTAGTCTGTCTGTCCCTGGCTTACCTCGAAAGTGATATGGGTGACTGGATTAACATCAGTAGTAGTTCTGATTCTTGTGGAATGGCCATGCGGAAAGATTGAGATTGATCTTTGGCCAACAAATGAATAGAAAGAGAGAGAGGGAGAGAGAGAGAGATGCAATTTATGAGTACTCACATCCGTTTCCGAAATCGGTCGTCTTGGCCTCTGGGCTGCCAGCAAAAATCAACCCCAGCTCCGGAGTGACCTCTAGATGACCTTTGTAGGTATAGGAAATGGTCTAGACAGAGTCCACGGTGAGTGAGTGAGTGAGTAAATAAAAGTCGGCGAGGGGGAGAAGAAAGAGGGGGAGAAGAAAGAGGAGGAGAAGAAGAGGAGGATATGGAGGAGGAGAAGGAGGAGGAGAAGGAGGAGGAGGAGGAGGAGGAGGAGAAGGAGGAGGAGAATGGTGCTTATGTCTTCAAAAGTTGCCAAGTTGCCAAGTTGTTACTGTACGTACGGCGCCATCGTTGTTCCTGTCAAAGATCAGCAAAAAGTCGGTCAGTGGCGGCAAGCAATAAGACAAAACAGAAACAGGTCAAGTCAGGCAGGGTTCAGGAATCGGCGGGCACAGTGACCGCTGACTCGAGAGGGAAATAGAAGAGGAACAGGAACCACCACTCTCGGCTGGCCATATAAACTTACGTCAACACAGCCTTGACGTCAAGATGGACGAATCTGTGGTCGTCGGTCACGTTGAAGTGATCGGTTCCGAATTCGACTTTGGCATCGATGGCGGGCGAAAACCCCGGTTCGCTCTTGACAGTGCCGGTGTCGACGAGCTAGACGAGCCAACGACAACGAGGGTGATTAGCGTTCGTTCAGTTCCGTTTAGTTCAGATTTAACATTTATATTCTTGCTTATTGTGGAGGGCATATCACGGGTATGGGTGTAATTGAATTGAATTGCTCAACAGGTCGAAGCGCAGGGCTTGTAAGGGCAAGGGGTTCGGAATGGGGATGGAAGTTTCCATGTAAGCTTACCGCGACGGATAACTGACTGCCACTATCAACTTTCCCTACAATACGGTACCACCGTACCATGTTAACAAACCGCGATACGATACTGTACAAAGTCATGCCCAGAGCACCCCCCACGGCGTCATATCTTGTTTTCTTCTGACAGAGCCAGAGCCAGCAGGTCTTTCATGTCTTGTTTTCTTCGACAGAGTCTCGTTTGTCAACAGTAACTTACCAATAACGATCGGCGGCTTGAATATGAGCTATAGTGCAAAACCTGGTCAACAACACTGAACTTTGGGAAAGGTGTGCCCAACCGGGTTCCCTAGGGGCCCCAGGGGCTGGACCGGACGGAACGTGCCTGCGCTGTCAAGGCTGGCTCCAAGGCTGGGAACCCCGCCATTTGTTTATCCGGTCGCTCGGAATACGGTACAGGGTAGGTAGGTAGGTAGGAATACAATCCAGGTCAGGGCAGGCAGGCAGGCAGGCAGGTAGGTACTGTAGGCTGTCCGGCAGAGAGGGTCGCTCGTATCTTATATCTTATATCGTATACTGTATATCGATCGAAGAATCTCTCAAGGTCGACCGTTGGAGCAGAACAGAACAGAGGCCGGCCTGGGAGAAAAGAATTCCAACCAAGCTAGATCTAGGGTTAGTCTCTAGTATTCGGGAAGGGTTGTTCTAATCGTGACTTGGGTTCTGCCGTGCCTTGGTGCTAGAAATCTACCGAGGACAGTCAGTGATGTGACCTTCGCTCGGAACAGTCTGTACCCGGGCCGGTCGCGCTCTTGTTTTGTTCCCCCACCGCACTGCTTCAACCCCATGGGGCCGACAGGGGAGGGGTTGGGTTAGGGTTAGGGTTAGGGTTGACTGTATAGGTATATAGAGTAACGGCACGCGGCTGCTAGATATACATAGTTGGTGCAGGTGGGTTGAGTGTGAGGCGAGATTGAGGTCGAGGTGAGCTGGAGGATGTAACGTGACCGACCGGTTGGTAAAACCGGCGATGGAAATAGTGGACATGATGGACAGTGGAAGAAGCCTCCTCCTCCTTCTCTTCTCTCCTCAAGGACCCTACAATACTCTCCAATACCAACACCAACACCAACACCAAGCCAAACTGTCCAGCTGCTGCAAGCCTTCTCTCATCTCTCGTAAACACTCTATGCATCTACTCGTTCAGTCGGACTACTCATGCAACCAGCTGGTGCAATTTCGCCTTCTCTTCGTCGTTCAATTGCTCAAACAGACTGACAAACCCTTCTTTCTCAGCCTCGCCCTTGAACCACTGTAACAGATATTCGGCCGTCTCTTCATCCCTGGCCCGGGAGCCCGTGGCACTCGCTGCCTCTCCATCATCGCCGAACCCCCCTGGCCCACCACCAATCAGCGACATCAGATCACCCCGGACCGCCGCACTGGCAAGGTCGATCGCCCCGGCAGTGCCCACGTCTTCCCACTCATCAGCGTCGTCGGCATCGGCTTCCGCTTCTTCCAGCGCCTCCGCGGCCGCCTGTGCCGCGGCGAAGTCTGGGAATTGCGAAGTGGCAGCAGACGCAAGCTCATCGACCAAAACCTTGAGGATTTTCAGGTCGGCAGGCACCGACGTCCAGCGATCGGGGTTGAGCTTGGCCTGGGAGCGCGTCTTGATGCGGCCCGACGGATTGGCATCGACGACCAAGTCACCCTTGACGTTCACGGCCCGGACGCGAGGATCGTGCAGCGAGAAGATCTTGGAGAGGGCCACGACGTTATGCCTGACATCGTCAAAGCCGGCGAAATGCACCGAGTTCTCCAGCCATTTCGTCAACACGACCGCCAGCCCGTTCGTGCCGTTGATGTTGACCTCCGATAAAAAGTCCACCACCTCTTTCGGCGCGGCGAGTGAGAGTCCCACAAACACCATGCACAAGCTCTGGATGAATTGGATTCGGTCGGCGGTGGCGAGCCGGACCGCCACAGCCCGCAACAGATCCATGAGATAAGGGCCCAGTTTGTCCGCCCCAAACTTGGTCACGAGCGTCGACGCCAGTCCGCCCACTTCTTGGCCGGCATTCTCGTCCACATCGGGCGAGTTGAGAAGTCGATTGACGATGGTCAGCGTCACTTCGATGGATGACTTCCCCTGAGAGTCCCTCCACGCCAAGAACTGCGACGATCCTTTGCTCAAAATATGTTCGACGGCAAGCGTGGCGGGACGGACAAGCTCGGCGTCAGTCGCCTCCATGAGTACGCGCTGCAGTTTGGGCATGACCGCAGAGACGAATCCTTCAGGCAAGGGCTCGGTACCGAATTCAGCCAGTGCGTTGACGAGCTCGGCGGCGAGATTGGTCAAGCCGGATTCTTGGGTCATGTTGGCAACGTCGAATGCCCCGGTGAGCGACGGGATCGTCTTGGTGCAGAGGCGGATATAGTGGTCCGGCCCGTGGGAGACAATCGACGACACGATGCCTTCGAATGCTTCTGTCAGTAAGGTGAACAGTTGGAAGTTACCTGCGCCGTTGGAGGCTAGGGTGAAGAACAAGTCAATCGCGTTCCCTTCCGTGATACTGCTCGTGTCGAGCATGATCGTATCGCGCAGGGCTTCAATCAAGGCGGCTTTGACGTCGTCGGCGTCCTCCAACCCATCCCGAAGATCGTGCGAAGACATGAAGTCGCTAATGGCGTCAAAGATGGCTCCTTGCATGGGATGTGTCAAGTTCTTGGGCAAGGCCTGAATGTAGTCAGGGATGATACTGATACAGGCGATTTTGACCACGTCCGCCGAGTCCGTGATGGAGGCATTGATGGCATTTGAGAAGGATGCCGCTCCAGCCGAGGCGAAGTCGCTGGCCGCGACCCTGAAGACGCTGCCCAAGACCAGTTGCGCGGCAGCTCGCAAGAAACATTGCGAATCCTGGAGAATGCCCGCCACTTGTTCAAGGACGGCCGAGGCCGCAGATGAATCCAACTCGCCAGAAATATCACCCACGTCTCTCAGGCACTGGTTGAGGAGATAGAGGAACGCCTCCCGTTCCTTCCATCCGGTTGCCTGGGTGTGGAGTGTCTGTTGGTTGAAATGAAGCATGGCCAAGACGGGCAACTGCTTCAGCCACTCTCCTAGGCTCCGCACCGCCAGTTCGGCACAGGCAGCCCTGGGGGTGTAGTTTGCCGTCAGAGAATTCGTTTCACAAAGATAGAGATTCGCGTCGTATTCCCAGAGCGCTTCTTCCTCCTGCGGGATTCGGGAGTACAAGACTAGGACCCGGATCAACTCTTGGAGCCAGGGGACGGTGTGCTGGGCATCGCCTAGTTGTTTCATCTGGCTGGAAAGCTCCGCACGCACCGGTGGGGCCCTGATCGTGACCTGAAGAAAGTCGATCTCTTCGAGAACCAAGGCGTCCAAGCTACAGGCGAGATTGTCGCTGTCGACCAACTTGCCCTCTGCACTGCCGTCGATGAAGAGTTCCGCATATAGGTCGGCAATCCTCGAGAGCTCTTCCCACACAATCTGGAACAATACGACAGCATGGGGGGAGATGGCGTGAACATAGACCTGTCTGAGCTTGTCAAGAATCTGTCATTCGGTTAGCCTTTTGTGTTGTGATGCAGTCCACGGGGATGTCGTGAGACCATACCTTGACGACCTGGACCTTCAATGCCACCAGACCTCGAAATTGGACATCATTCTGGTCTACGTGGGGTTCCGCAGGCTGTGGCAATGGTTGTTTGAGCGTCTCCATGAATAAGGGCATCCAGGTCTTTGTGGACTCGTCCAAAAACGCCTTAACTGCAGCTTCATGTTCGCCGATCACCATGTCCAGCATCGCAAAACAATCGCGAAAGACGCTCAAGGTCATCGCCCGGACGATCAAACTGCGGTGGTTGTCCACTACGACATGTTGCAATGCCCTCACCAAGTCGGGGGCGACCACGAAGAATTGGTCTTCTGTCAGGCCTGAGTCGATCAATTCTGCGAGGACCCGAAGAGCGCCATGGATGGGTGCATCGTTGGTGGATGTGGTCAAGATGGTCAGAAGCGACGGGAATAGCGACGGCCATGCGTCCGGAAAGTCGACGGTGGCGATCTTACTCGCAACGCCGGCAGCCAGCGCTTGGATCGTGGCGTCCCTGGGAGCTTGGTCGCCCTCGGCTGTGCAAATTCCAAACACTTGATCGCGCACCCTCGCTTTAGCTTCATCGTTCAAGTAAACACTGCCGGTAAAGGTATCGTCAAACTGCGGTGACCAAGTCGTGAGAACGTAGTTTTTCAGCGCGGTCAACGCGGCCTTGCGAGAACTTGATTCAATGTCATTGTGAGTGGCGATGGTCAAGAGGGCGAACGGGAACTCGGGCTGAGAGTAAAGGCGGAGAAGACCTTGCTCGGCATTCCTAATGACGACAGTGTCTGGTCGGGTGGTGGCTTGAAGCAATTGAAGAACTTGTTCCTCCATGGTCCGAGAGCGACGAGGCTGACTCAATGTAGGGGTGGGACTTGGGACTAGCCTTTGAACGAGCACAGGCCCTAATCGAGTGGAGATATCATAGGATAGGGTTCGTGGTGTGCGGGATGAAAAGTGACGAGTCGGGTCGGTGCTGGCGGGATGGGAGAAGCGGTCTATGGTAAGATGAACGACGAGATCAACAAGGTACCGAACGCTCAAAGATGCCCAAGTACAGTACACCGGAAAAGGGAGGTTGTGAAGTGGAAAAGGGTTTGATGGTGGACAGCGTTCAGAGCAGAGAAGCGTCAAACAAGTCGCGGTCTGACCAGAGGCCTCATCACGTGACTGCGCGACGCGTCGAATCCGCCAAGCCTGGGAATGATTGGACGAGATTCGCTGTTGACGCGATTCTCAAACTTGCTTCAACTACTACAAGTAGTACAGAGGACTCCGTACTCCGTCCTACTACTCTGTCCGACGCAGAGCATACAGCATATCGAAAGCAGGCCTTGTTTGATTTGTATAAGGTATGCTACTGGGAATCATCGCCCACCACGGCAAGAGACTGCCAAGTGTCAGTGTCACCCACCCTTTAACCTAGGCAGCCTTGGGAAGAGGAAGAGAAAAGAGAAAACATATCTCACTTCTACGGACAGACTTTTGAGGTTGGCGTCTGCCTACAAGCTTGCTGTTCTACGGAAGAGAGGTCATGTTTGTCCCAGCCTTGCGCAGACAACAAATCATGCGGTATGCCTAGGCGGTAGGCATTTGGTGGGATTAGTCAGCGAGGCTGAGAGATCTGGTATAGCGACAGATATAGTCCTTACATCACACCAATACCCACTCCACTGCGAGCCCAAGGTTTCAGACACGTTGTATTCGAGAGTGAGAGTGACATCCTTCGATGTCGATGTCGCTGCGGCCTAGCCGTTTTGCCTTCAGCGAGGACCGCCTCAAGGCCATCTGGCGGGATCCCGAGAACTTCCAGCGGAAAAGCGTGTACGAGTGGCATCAGATCGTGGACCATGACTCTGAACATGGGCTTCCTGATCAAAGAGCGGCAAGAAGGCTGTGCCTGCAGTTTTCCAAAGATGTCGAAGACCCTAAGTTTTCTCTGGCACGCTTGGATGCAAGCTACAGTGCAACATGGCGACCTCCTAACTTAGGGAGGGCAGTAGATATTGAGGGTCAGGTCAGAGAAATCTATCCTTTCGCTTGGGGACCGCGCTTGTACGGACTAACGGAAGGTAGCCATTGACTGATTGTTGCTATTGCTAGGTTCTCGGCCGCGCCATCGAGATCCTGGGACAGCAGCCTGCTACTCCTCCGACCATTCTGGACGCCCTTCCATTCGGTACTGTATCAGAGAACCACTATGTGCTACCGCTTAATGGCGCAGAACATCATGCCGAGGTGGTCTCAGACCTTGCTTGGGACAACCTGCTCGTCGTCAACTTCGTGGATACGATCGTCCTGCGCCTGGTGTTATGTATCGCGCAGTCCCAGCTGACGCGTCAGTACGGCCCGGCATCGATTGTGCGACTCTTGAATGCGACCATTCAACTGCTCCGAACGAGTCTCGATCTTGCGTCTGAACAAGGCGCCAAAGACCAGAAATGGATCATAGTATGTGCCTTTCTCTGGACCTCGTGGTCTAGAATCCTGCTGCTCAGACTCGGGGCGGCGGTGGGCCGGCAGCTGCAAGGGTTCGACTACAACATGAGAGGATTAAATTCGATCCGATTTCTGGATGTTGTGCCGGAAGTTGTCGAGTGTCGCCGACGGATCCTGGACAGGGAGCTCAAAGCTACACCATACCTCTGTGCATGGGCGTACCGGAACCTCACCGAGGACCGAGCATCCATTTCAACCGACCTTCGGCGTTTTCACCAAGTCTACCATGCTTGTTTCGGGACGAAGCTGGCAATCTGCAACTCAGGATCCAAGCAATGTAGCGGGGTGTCCTCGATCGTATGTGGGCGATTCGAGCAAACACCAGTGACTAATCAATCATCTCACGCGCCAGGTTGTCGAGGAGATTGCGATCGACTCTTTTGGATCAGGGAATCGTTCATCGCTGTGTCGGGCCCCAAAGCAGTCGACATCACGGCCACAGATGCAACAGGTCTACGCTACTGTGAGTCCACAGAGAAGACCTTGACCATATCTCATGTCTGGAGCCACGGCCAGGGAGGCAGACCCAACCGTGGTGGCGCCGAAGGCACGGGGTTCAACTCATGCCTGCACCGGCGCTACTCGAAGCTGGCCTTGTCAATGGGGTGTTCGTCGTATTGGATGGACACCGCTGCCATTCCAAGCGAGCCAGATCTACGCTGGGATTGTATCGCGAACATCACGAGAATCTTTTCCACCAGTGAGACCACGCTTGTCTGTGACCGTGACATCATGACCATTGATATTTCCGATCCTTGCCCCGAGACCTGTGAGCAACTACTGGCCGCGCTACTCGTTTGCGACTGGAACATGAGGGCTTGGACGTTGCTGGAAGCAATGCGAGGTAGGCATTCCCTCGTCTTGCTCTGCCGCGACGACAAGGTGATCAGTGTCAGAGAGACACTGGAGACAGTCTACGCCCGCGGAAGGGTCGACATGGTGATCCCGTTCATGATGCGCTCGTACCTGCTCCCTCCAGACGACATCACCGACATGGAGTTGTTTGAAGGCGGAGGCTCCGTGGCAACAGAAGAAGACCAACAGATCGCACAGGGCTTTGTCAGCATTGGTGAGGCTGCCGCCCTCCTCAGCCATCGGCATGCCACCCGCGACGACGACGACCTACTTATATGGAATCTCCTCGCCGGTGACGTGGAGACGTCGGATCCTACACAGATGTGGAGGCGCCTGGTCGGCAAGAGGATATCGACGGGCGCGTTGGTCTCCAGCGCCCCCAGGCTTCGAGGTGTGCCGGGCTTCCACTGGGCACCTAGTCGGCCGACAATGCCTCGAAGGACGACCGGCTCGTCGAGCCACGAGAAAACTTTTCCGGCCTCTGATGGTGTGGATATGAAAGATGGCCACATCACTGCAGAAGGCTTACGGGCCAGGTGGCTTGCATTCAAGTTTGACGTTCCGGCTCGTGGGCTGCAGAGTGATGATTTAGGCCTCGGTGAGGGCTCCCTTGAGAACAAACTGGCCGAAATCGCCCGGCGGCACCTGGACCACCTGCCGAAGGGTATTATGCTTCAAGCGTGTCCGGCCAGAGGGCCGGCAAATGTCCCGATCCCCTACCAAGGCTCCATCAATCCTCTACTGGTGGTTTGTGCATCTGAGGATGGGATACGCTGGGAGTGGAAAGGTATCTACGAATGGGACCGGCACGTTCAACTGCCGCCATTCGCTTTGGAGGAGATTCTGCTTGTCTAGGTTGGATCAAGAAAAATGTCAAACTTGGGCATTCCCAGCCTTGCCCTTGAACCAGAGAGGCTGGTTATACTATACTATATAGCATGCGCTCCCCCTGCGACCCTTTGATAGAGAACATGGAACGTTCCAACCTTTGACAAAAAAGAGGCAGGGGGATGGGGCCGACCAAAGGCCTCTAGGTCCAGGCTGGTGACCTTCTACGAGATTCTCAAGTACGTTCTTACTCGAAATGGACGCAGATACGGATTTCGAAGTAGGAACAAATAGGTAGACGGTAGATGTGATTTCTGGCTCTGCTGGAGAATAACCCATAAAGTTCTCGAGAGCGCTACAAAATGTTAACCATGTACCATCGCACAACCAATCCATCCTTCGACTCGTCGCATTCAGGTGGCCCGACCTGGGATTACTAGGAGCTTGCTCTCACCGTTAGTTGGATAATGCGTGCACAACCGTCCTTCGCGTCGGCACATGATCATAGGCAGGCTTCTTTCTGATAACCAGACCACCGCTGTTGTATATGTGGAATCCCGCCCGGGATAGCGTCAAATATCCAACTTTGCTGGACAAGGCAGCCTTCCCACCCACCGCGGTCTGGATGGGATGATGGCAGTGTAATGGACCAACTGTGCGTACGCTGATGCTCAAGTCTGCCGACTATCCTCTGCCGCCGACTCGGAATATGGTTTGAAATCGAGGCTGTGAGGGCAGAAGCAGAGCATGAGCAGCTCACTGCGAAATCAGAGCCCAGTCCAAGCAACTTTCGCAACCATGGCATTCTGCGTCGGTCATCTCACGGCTGTAGAAGGGTAGGTATCGAACAATGCAAGGTTGGTGGTCCACTCATTCGAGATGACTCGATGTCGATGGACAGTTTTTCCTTCTCTTTTTTCAATCCTCGTCCATTGACTCCCAGTCTTGTCCACCCGCGCCCGTCGGCACTCCGCCTTGCGCCCCATTCTCATCTTCCACATCATCGTCGCTTTCATCGTCGCCATTGTCGTTGATGGCCACGAACCTCTCCTTGCCGGTCGTTTCGGGCAATTTGACCTTCCCGGCAAACACATTTCTCACGCTGGGGTTGGTGCTAATGTCCCAGACTTGGAGCTGGCCCTTGCTTCCGGCGACGGAGAGCCTGAAAGCCACCTCCGGGTCGGGCGCGAACTGGACGGCAAAGACACGGCCCACGTCGAGATTCCTCGAGACGACCATGCTAGGCTTGTTGTCCTCGACATTCCACAGCTTGACCTTCTTGTCGTCAGACCCAGTAGCCAGCAGCCCGGGAACAGTGGGATTGACGTCGAACGAGCTCACCGCTCCATCGTGGGCCTGCAGTGTCCAGACCGGCTTACTGAGCTTGTCGTGAGTAGTCGGGATGTTTCGCGCGTCGAAGTAGTGCACGGTGCCCGCCTCGGTCGTGACGAAGAAGAAGTTCGGGTCATGGACATCCCATCGGACCTTCTCCACATCGGCTTCGACAACCCATTTCGGAGCCACGGCGTCGGGGGCCCGCATGTCCGTGGCGACGACGGTCCGGTCGTAACTCCCGCTCAGGAGCACAGTTGTTTCCGTCGGATGCCAGTCCAGCGCGCATACTTTGTCGGAGTGCATGGTGTATGACTTTGCGCATCGGCCCGTGTTGAGGTCCCAAAGCTTGACGGTCTTGTCTGCCGAGGCGGACGCGAGCAGATTCCGATGGTGTCGGTTCGCTGCAAGGGCAAGCACAGCGTCAACGTGGTACTCGTCGTTGGACTTGGGCTTGGCCTTCTTTTTCTTCTTTTTCGACTTCTTCTCACTGCTTTTCGAGTCGCCTCCGTCCTGTGGCTCGGGTTCAGGCGCCTGGCCCAAGATTGCATTGGGATACATGCCGTCTACCACGTCCAAATCCCACACCTCGATCTCCGGGCTCATCGTACCCACCGCGACAAAATTCCCCTCGGTCCGCTTCCCAGCATCATTGCCGACGGGGACATTGATCCACTCCACACACAGCGGCACGGCGGGGAGCATAATGTCATGATGGACGTACAGGTTGTCCGCCTCATCTTCGTACACGAACACCTCGAGATGTGCCACCTCGTCTTCGACCTTTGCCGCCAGGATCAGGTTATCGGAATGCAAGATTTGTAGTTCTTCTCTTTCATCGTCTGAATCCTGCTCCCCGTCCGGCAGCACAAGATATGGGTCTTTTTCATGTGGTGCGTGATATGCGAGCGACCCTACATTGCCAAACATGGCGAATTTCTCCCCTTGCTCATCGACTGTCTCCTCGTCGTAGTCGTCCAGATTGTATTCTTTGAGATCGTCCGGTTCGCCGACCGCGGTTTTGCTCGACTGTGCGGCGTCGACTGTGGGCACGCCCGTGTCTGAGTCTGCCTCGTCTGATTCATCGTCTCTCTTTGGGTTCTGTGCAGTCTCCAAATCCTCCTGTGCATCCTCGAGTTGTAGCCGAGCGAGTTTCGAAATGCGGCTCAGTTCGGCCTCGTCGACCTGGTACTTGACGGGAAACTGGGCGGCGACACCTCTCCTCACCCACGTCGTAGCTAGTGTCATTGACATTTTGGCGACGGTGTTTGACTGGCGGCAACCACTTCCAGGGTTACTGTTAAGTTCGTGCCAGCGGCCGCGATAATTTGAATGGGTTCGCCAAAAAAGGCGGCAGAATCTTCGAACTTTTTGGCGGTGAGGGGAGAATTGATCGGCTCTCCACTAACAGCAGCCTGACTAAGGCAGCGAGAATGCTAGTCCACTTGCGTCATGATATACATGGGTCGAACCGATATTGACGACTCAAACATACGGGATCCTGACAAGATGTTCAGAAGGATAGAGACTTGTAAGGTTGAGTCACGGTGCAAAAGCTAATAATGGTAGTATCTACTATTATCTACATGTACTCTATACATGTACCTCCAGGTAGGTGAACTTTAGTGGAAGCAGTAAAAGCAGCGATGACTTGCTCTTGGCGGAGACAAGCTCGAACTTCTTGAATGTCCGCGGAACTTGAAGCAGAAGCCCGGGCATACAATCATCCAGGGAGTAGTCATACACCACAGCGAAACGTCGCTGCTGATCAGTGAGAGACCCATGTGGGCGTGGCTCGAACCGCATGATCAATACTGGAGACGAGTCTCCGAAAGAATGCATTCCCATCTCCACACAAAAGACAATGTCGGTACGTGGCGATCGAGATCCCAGAGTTGCATAAGAGCCTCCCCCGTTACACTATGATGGTGGTTCTTTATCCCGGGGTACTACCCTTTCCAGAGCCGCTGTCCAGCTCATACGGGAGACGGGTGTAAGATTGATCGGCCGGAGAACTGACCGTGCATAGGGTGCGAAGAGATCATGACCGCACTCGACGAATGTCACGCCCGAGGCTTCCTCTACAAGGCCACCGGCGGCTGCAACGAGATCAAACGGGAAGTCAACAGATGTTTATCGGGCGAGCGAACAAAAAAGAGCAAGAAGAATCGCGAGACAGGCCTGGAGCGCCGGGCTAGGATCGAGGCAGTTTGGGCGAAGATGGACGATGGCGACTACTCGGCATTGGAGAGGTTCACCAAGCGGAATTGAACGGTGAAGAAGTGTATTCGGTGGCGCATGGCTGACGGGCATCCATATGGCGTCTGGTTCCACACTAAAGGAAAAAATGTATATTGCATAAGGCGGACGACGTAAAATGTACAGCCGGGTTTCTTCTCTCAATACAATCAGGGTTACACTGTCATTGAATATTTGCTTGAGTCCTGAAGATGAACCGCCCAGTATTGACTCGGTTCGTGGGTTTGCAGGGTATTATCACAAAATACCTGGTACGGCCACGAGTTGATCAGCTCTAAGGATGCCTGGGAATGAGACGTCGATGGTCTGATATCCCTGAAGACTCTAGCCAACAATCGAACCATGTTGACTTGACTCGACCTCGCAGTCCATCGCTCGTCGATACTACCAACTTGAACTACACTGGACAAGGGAGTATCTTGGTAGGAACATGCGCCGCTTTGATTGTCTCACAGACCACGAGTACGATCCTAGAAAAAAAGATGAGCGATGTATTCGTACACATGGCGCTTGATTCATCCATCCCAGTTGAGTAGGACTCAACGTACGGTACCCAGGCGGTCAACACATTGCCGTTTCCCACTTCTGCTGAGAGATTGGCTCCAGTTGATACCTAGGCCTGCAATGCATCGACACTTGAGAACCACGAAACAACTGTCATCCTCTCACCCTTTCGAGCGTGTGTGGTGATTGCTTGAGGCTGGATGCCGCCAGTGTGACTCCCAACTTCAGCTTGGACAATTATTTCATGACACAATAATAGACACTGCTGGCGTATAACCACTCTTCTCATGCCAACCAGCAATGCTTGCTTCCTTTAATCACATATACGTTATTGATGATATCTCATCAAATAGAATCGCTTGTTGCAACTATTGCCACCCCAAAAATATAAATGAGGGCGGGCAAAAAAGAAATGATGGAAATTAAGCTCTCCCTCGGGGAATCGAACCCCGGTCTCCCGCGACTTGTTAATCCTTCGAAGAGTACTGACAAGCGGAAACTAGTTGAATGTTAGGATACGAAGAACCATATTGAGGTTGGTAGAAGACTTACTCATGACCACTAGACCAAGGAAGATGTTTCACTGAGTAAGCTCAGTGACTTGGCTTGATTGTTGAAGATGATTGTGAAATAATAATCCATATACCGTTAATAAGTGACTAGCACTAATTAAGTTCGCCAAGGGATAAGGCTGGGTGCCAAAATATATGGCGGATTATACGGCGGTCCTTCTATCAAGTAGAGAGCTACTGTCTCTAGATATAGAATTTCAATACTCGAAATAGAAGATTTACTTAGGGAGGCCGTAGAGTATATCTAGTATCTTAGTAGATAATTATCCGGTAGAGCTGGAGGGTTCCTAATTCCTGTCGAAGTAGCAGTAAGATAAACCGTCTTTAAATCTGGCACCCACCCCAAGGACACCAACTCTGCGAAGCTCAACCCTAACTTTCAGTTATGTACTCCTCATCTAGGGGCAGCGCAACCGAACGAGGCACTGGATGGTCAACAGCCTTGATATAGACTTGGTCGATAGTAATCTTAGGTGTTGAAGTCCTACGTGGTTTATGCCGAGGAGGCCTCCGCACCTATCTATTTGCAGACCCTATTACCTAGCTCTCAAATTCAAAGCCTGCTAGAACAATCATAAGCTGGCAATCCCAGAATGCAAGGAAGTTGCTTTTTAGAGGGTTGTCCTTCAAATTTGCGAGCACCTTTCCCTTGGACATGGTCAACTTGTCTCCTTGCCTAGGTAGACATATAGGGTACTTAAAATGACGCGGTCTTCCGCCGGAATCAGTTTAGTGGTCCGTGAGACAATCAAAGCGGCAAGCGTTCCTGCCAAGATAAGCCCTTGTTCACTGCAGTGGTGGCATCGACTATTACTAGTACTTCGAACTAGCGATGGACTGCGAGGTCAAGTCAACGTGGTTCGATTGTTGACAGAGACAAAGCGTCAAAGCCGCCGGCCATGCGCCTCCCATACCACTGACCTGAGTTGTGCGAGTCTACGGTAGTTCTTATATGAATGTGCCCTTTGTTTCGGATCTCCGGAACTAGTCACCACGATACAGTGCTTCTCTTTTGGCTGGCTTTGAGGCACATGTCTCATGCTTACCACCCCACCTATGCATTATGACCGGCGGAACCAATTCTCAGGAGCAACTTCGTATTGAAAACTCGACTCTTAAGGCGCCTCCCAGCAGTATACCTTCCTCTCCATCCGGCCTCGAACAACCCGAGGTCGACGAATTCGGTTTACCAAAAAGACCGGTGAGCAGGCCACGTCGTGATGAGTCCGATGACAGTGGAGATGAGAGCGACACTTTCCACGATGTCGAAGGGTTCGATGGCAAAAGCACTGTGCAAGATAATGGAAGTACCGAGCGGGACGAAGTGGTAATAAACTCGGATGAGCGCAGGGGGCGACCAGGCGAAGAGGTGGACGTTCCCACTCACGCGACTGGACACTCAGAAGATGGTGAAGGAGACAGGGGGAGGGTGCGGGAAGATGGGGACCCCGAGGACAAACCTGCGCTGCCGGTCACTGAAGATGTCATCGCAGCAGCAGCCAAGTCGGCAGCTCCAGAGACGGATCAAGAACCCGCGTCAGACAAGACTTCGGCCCCCCGGGATTCTCAACTTTCGTCCACTACTGTCATCCCAAAACGAGAGCATCGTACAATTGCTCCTACGGTCTCTGAATGGTCTCATCAAAGACAAGTGGCAGGAGCTCAGCCAGCTGACGACGATGAAGAAGAGGAGGAGGAGGAGGAGGAGGAAGAGGAGTGGCAAGCGATGCGGGCTCTGGACGAGTTCGACGTCTATGATGACGACGGTCGGCTCATCGCCAAGGGGAACAGGCAAACGGAAGAAGAGATGAATCCCTATGCCGGGATCGGAGGGGCGGGCAAAGGATATACAAGGGTGCAGCTGGACGAAGATGCACAGTCTGCCACTAGTTTGGACGAGGAGACCAACTATCTATTCCAAAATGGCCGAAAACCAACAGAACCAGATATCGAGCACGACCAAGAAGAAGACCAGAGAGACGCTGTTACCCAACTAGAAGCTACAAAGGATCTGCTGACTGAAGGCCAGCGCATAGCCTATGTTGGCGTGGTCCGCCTGACGATTCACAAAATGTCTGAGGCCCTGGCTGATATGGAAAAAACCAAAGCCACCAGGAAGGAAACCATGAAGGCCGTGGAAAGCATGGACATGTGGGGACAGAAAATGATGCTGCGTCTCTATACCCACATGGACATCAACCAGGCGGAGCAGATCATGATTGAACAACTTGCCGAACATGGGGTGCAGCCATCAGATCTGGTCAGTCCGCTGATGGTCAATGCCAGGGTCAAAAATCCGATGGCCAGCGATGAGCCCAAGATGTCCGCAAACGGGGACTCAACAGTCTCTCGTTCCTCTCTCAGGAGCAGTGACGAGACTCTGGAGGACATCAAGGATGAAGAGGCAGTTCCGGAAGTACACGGCCCGCAAGACATGCCGCACACCAAACAGATCGATCTTGATCTTCGTTGGACCGTCCTCTGCGACCTGTTTCTGGTCCTGATCTCTGACAGTGTATACGATGCTCGATCCAGGCGACTGCTGGAGAGAGTTGCCTCGACCATGGACATTAACTGGGCCCAGATCTGTCGGTTTGAGAAAAGAGTGATTGATGCCTTGGAAATGCAAGAGGCAGAAACGCAAGAGAGTTGGGACGAGTCCGCCAACATGGAAAAAAGACGCAAGCTGGGTCTAAAGCGCAGATACATGGTCATGGGCCTCGCAACTGTCGGCGGCGGTCTAGTCATTGGGCTCTCGGCGGGATTGCTGGCGCCTGTCATCGGGGCAGGTCTCGCTGCTGGCTTCACGACCATCGGTGTCACAGGTACTGCCGGATTCCTGGGCGGAGTCGGCGGAGCTGCTTTGATCACCTCGGCGGCCACGGCGGCTGGTGGTACCATTGCCGTTCGGGCATCGGACCGGCGGACAGGCCACGTCAAAACTTTCGAATACCGCCCCCTGCACAATAACAAGCGACTCAACCTGATTCTGACCATTTCTGGTTGGATGAATGGCAAGGTTGACGACGTCCGACTGCCTTACAGCACCATCGACCCCATCATGGGTGATATTTATTCTTTGCTGTGGGAGCCGGAAATGCTCCAATCGATGGGTGACACCATCAACATCCTCGCAACCGAGGCCTTGACGCAAACCGTCCAGCAGGTCCTCGGCAGTACCATTCTGGTGGCTCTCATGGCGTCGATCCAGCTTCCGGTGGTGCTTTCCAAATTAGCGTACTTGATCGACAACCCTTGGAGTGTTTCTTTGGATCGGGCCAACTCTGCTGGGCTCATTTTGGCGGATTCTCTCATGGACCGACATCTGGGCCAAAGGCCCATCACCTTGGTTGGATTTTCTCTCGGGTCCAGGGTCATTTTCTCTTGTCTGAAAGAATTATCGCGACGAGGAGGGTACGGCTTGGTGCAAAATGTGTATCTGTTCGGTTCGCCGGTGGTAGCCAAAAAGGATGATTACCTACGCGCCCGCTCGGTGGTGTCTGGCCGATTTCTCAACGGCTATGCGTCCAATGACTGGATTCTAGGCTACCTCTTCCGCGCGACATCCGGCGGGATCATGCGTGTCGCGGGTCTTGCGCCGGTGGAAGGTATTCCAGGTGTCGAAAACCTCGACGTCAGCAAACTTGTGAATGGCCATATGGCTTATCGTGCTGCCATGCCGCGTCTGATGCGAGAAGTAGGTTGGGAAGTGGAGAGCGATGAGTTTACCGAGATTGAGGATCCAGACCCTGAAAATCACGCACAACGGCAGCGACAACTCATCCAGGAAATAGACGATGCCCGAAGGAGGGCCGAGGGAAAGCCCGAGAAGAAGCGTTTCGGACTCTTCAAAAGGAGCAAGATGGTGGAGAAGCGAGGCTGGGAAACGTACACTCAGAACAACGCGCCCCAGACGAAGACCAACAGCGTCCACAAAGAGTCAAGCTTCGCGGTGGACGGGAACGTGTTGTTTGACATTGACGCGATTCGCAAAGAGCTCGAGAGTGAAATGATCGAAGTGAGGGAGTTGGATAGCACGTTACCGCCGATGCAGATCACCTCGATCCAGAATGGAGAAAAGCATGTGGAATATCTCCGACTGCCACCGGACTTGAAGCCTGAGGAAGTGGCCAGGATGAACCTCCCCCCGCGCCCTGATGAGGTTGACGTGGATTTCAACCCGGCACGCCCTTCCCCGGTGCGGTCGGCCAGGAAATCGTCTCTGAGGCCGACCTCGATTGCCTCTCCGCGGCTAAGTCCCGGGCTAAGTCCACACCGGTCACCGCAGCTTTCTCCAGACCCAAGTCGGCGATCATCCTACACGTATTCGGAGCCGAGGGAGCTGGTCAGCACGTTGCCACCCCTGAGTCTAACACCCGTACCATCCCCACGGACCGAGAGCCTCAAGGGTTCTACCAATGTACGACCCGAGCTGAAAGCACACGCGAGCGAGCCTCCTCTATCAAACTGGAGTCGACAGAGCTTGACCTCTAGTCCTGATCTCCCCCAAACGATGGCGAGCTTGAATCTGGAGCACAACGCCTGGGCAGACGACGACGATTCTGGGCCGGGACACGGCGAAATCAAGATGACGTTTGAATAATGAGTGGGTGATGCGGATGGGTTTGCAAATTGTTTCAGAAATCCAGTTGCATAGCGCGGCGCAGGGATGGTGCATCTTCTTCAGACAATTTGTGTCAGCATATATTGAATGTACATGATATCGACCTATTTCCAGCATCAGCATCAGCCGGTCAGTATGCGATCCTCCACGCCGCAACCGGGGCTCTTCCTGGGCGGTGATGATGTCTGACCGATTCATCCTCTTTTGTGCCAGGAGCGTTGAGCCGTCTCATCACTGACGAGGTCGACTACAAGAAGCCCCTTTGTTTGGCTCCGGGTAGGGGACATGATAGGTTTGCAAGATGTGGCCTTTGGTAGGCTGTTTGGGTCTCGGACGTACAGACAGGGCATGAATACTACCTGACCGCCGGAGTTTTTCCAGTCAACTGCCTTTGATACTGCCTCCGATACTGCCTTCGATACTGCCTGCGAGTTTTTCATTCTTTCATGGTGCAAACACAACGCAGCAGCTGCCTCGAATTCAATCTTCTTTGTCCACAACCCTTCCACAGGCAGTCTTCAACGAGTGTCCCATGTGCTTTGTTTACTTTCATTGTTTAAGGCGTCCTCGATTCTATTCTGGCCCTGTGATAATGTCTCATTCTTTCGAGTCTTCACCGGAGGGATGGCTCTTCCCAAGGATTTGTCTTGATGTTGACCTATCTTCTAACACACCTTTCCGCCATAAACACTCCATACGCGCCTACAGGACTGGTGGTCGAGAGCCTTTCTGTTCAACAAACAGCCATGGAGGCCATTATTGCCGCTCTCGCGGCCACTCAGCTGGACTGGGCCACTCCTACCGCGATACTTGGGCTACTCCAACCTCAGAATTTCCCCTTCATCTTCCTTTTCATCTTCCGCTACCTTCGCCTCGTTGTCCACATAGTGTTCTTCTGCCTCTACAAGCCGTCACCGGTTCCCGCACGCCGATCCATCAGCGAGAAAGATTGTTCGGTCATCCTCCCGACGGTGGACCCGGAGAATGCACGATTTCGCGAATGTCTGTCCTCGATACTCGTCAACGACCCGCTGGAAATCCGGATTGTCACGGTAGGAAGACGCCGATTGAAGCTCACCAAGCAGATCCTCAGACCGTACCAGGCGGCGTTCCCTTCGATCGACATTCACGTCTCAGCCACCGATGTTGCTAACAAGCGTGCACAGATTGCCAGTGCCCTGTTCTACATCCGCGGCGCCATCACTGTCCTCGTCGACGACAGCGTTTCCTGGCCATCCCCAGATTTCCTCCGGACCGCCACCGCGCCCTTCGAAGACGGCCGAGTGGGCGGGGTGGGCACGAACAAGCGCGTGCTGCGGGAGAATCTGGGCTTCGGGTTCGCCTCGTTCTGGAACATGATGGGCGCGCTGTACCTGGAGCGACATAATTTCGAGATCCGAGCCACCAACGCGGTCGACGGCGGTGTCTTTGTCATCTCGGGCCGGACGTGTGCATACCGCACCCGCATCCTACAAGACCCGAAGTTCATGTATCGGTACAAGCACGAGCACTTCCTGTTCGGGCTCTGTGGGCCGTTGAACGCCGACGACGACAACTTCATCACGTGCTGGCTCGTCACCCACGGCTGGAAGATCAAGGTGCAGTACTGCCAGGAGGCCATGATCGAGACCGTGCTCGGCACCTACCCGCGGTTCCTGTCCCAGTGTCTCCGCTCGTCGCGCACCACCTGGCGCAGCAACACGGCCTCTCTGTTCACCGACCGCACCGTCTACCGCGCGCAGCCGTGGTGCGTGTACGCCGTCTACCTGACCTCGCTGGTCAACTTTGCCCTGTTCTACGACGCGGCCCTGGTCTACTCGCTGACCGCCACCGACTTTTACAGCCGGGACGCGCTGCTCATGTTAGGTACGTGCATCTGTGTCTCCAAGCTGATCAAATTGGCCCCGTATTTCTGTCGCCATCCCGCCGACTTGATCTACCTGCCGGGTTACTTTGTCTTTGCTTACTTCCACAGCTTCATCAAACTCTATGCCGGCTTGACCTTCTGGGTCACCACCTGGGGAGGTCGTGATTTGGACGCCGTCACCCGTCAGGGCGGCGACGGCGACGACGACGGAAACGATGACAACAACGACGACAACGACAACGACGACAATGAGAGTCGGCCGTCTGCTTCTTTTCGCTTCCCTTCGCCTGACCAATCCGACTGGTTCTATGAGGAATTACCGGATCATTGGTTCATCGAGTCGCTTGGTCCTGCTCTCGATCAAGTGTCTACTTCTTCTCGCTCGTCTGATCTTTCTCTTTCTGGTCTGTCTGGTTTGTCTGGTCTTTCTGGTTTGTCTGGTCTTTCTGGTTTGTCTGGTCTTTCTGGTTTGTCTGGTCTTTCTGGTTTGTCTGGTCTTTCTGGT